ATGCGTGCGCATGCGCCCCGGGAGAGCGCCGCCGCCCCCGCCCCGCCCCCCACGAGCCCCGGGTTCCCAACGCTGTCTCCCGGGTAAGTCATGCCGCCCGCTAATGAGCAATAAAATGTCAACCAGAAGCCGAAACCGGAGCTAAGAAAGGTTATCGTGAGTTGATCCACTGCCAAGAGGCGCGACGTCTGGTACTGAGGATGCGCTCGTCCCTGCGGCCACTCCCAAGAGGGGTCGTTAGTCGGACTCGCCGGCTGCCTGGGTTTCGTCTGCCAACCGAAGGCGCCGGAGACGGTCACCCCTCCGCAGACGCCGCACCCGGGCTGGTGTTGGTCGCCAAGGACTGCTTCGGGAGCCCACGCTTTTGAAAGAAGGCTCCAAAAAGCCAAACGGTGCTGCAGAGTTATTAAATTGAGAAACTCTGTGTGCATGGTGTGAATGACTTTTAACTGGGTATTAAAACATAGAGTTAACAAGTTGTAACTTAGAGTTACATTCTCTGAAAATTTGCCTTTTTGCTCCCAGTTTTTGCTAAAATCTGATATACTGGATACTTTAGCATAATCCCAGAATTATATAATTTTGTTGCATATAAAAGCTACCTTTTATAACGTTTATTATTTATTAATTTATTAATGCCATTCTTTAAAAAATGAGTGAGAAAGTAGTCTCATTCAGGCTTAGGAAAACCTTCAGGCTTTGATTCCTGAGCCGAAATACTCTCCCTTCCAAAGTCCCGGATTAACACCGGCTCTTTGGCCCTGTTTTCTTAAGATGTAAGCTGGCACCCACTTCTCTTCGGTTGATCAGCCTTTCTATAAGAAAGCTTAGGGCCAGGGATACACTGTGGTTATCATAACTGCATTTAGCTATTTCACAAGTCTCCTAGGTGTAGATGGGATGGGAGAACGGGTGAGTGAAGGAAATGAATGAGAAAAAGCGACTGGGAGCAATGGAAGGTGCAAAATGAGGAAGGGACAAAGCTCACAGGGAAAGGGGATATATAGCAGGCCTTGGGGTGCAGACCTGTACACCCAAAATCTTGGTGTAGAAGTTTTTGGTCTTTTCCCTGGTTTTCCTCCATCTGCACCCTCTCACTCTCCCACACACAGCAGCTACACCCCCTACACACACACCCTAGAGTAAGGGGGCTACCTTACTCTCTTCATCCTGAGGACCAGGTCTCCTTAGGTCACTGTCTCCAGCCTCTAATGGTACAGTCACAGCGTCCACCAGTTCAAACCATTCCTATGAGCCAGAAGTTCTTATTTCAGGACTCCTGGAGCAGCCCAGCTCCTCCATACTGTCACTGCCTTCACTCCACACCTCCCAGCAGGGATGAGCTTTCCCCAGCCCAAGTACAAGGATGGCTCACAGTTCCAACTCTCTTCTTCCCTTTACAATCCCAGAAGCAAGAGCAAAGTCTTGATTTTCCTAAGGATTTTTATTGATAGTCACCAGGGAAACCCACACTGCCCAATGGAAGAATAGAATCAGAGCCCAACACATCTTAGTCCAAAGATCTCTTAATCCCGAGGTCATTTCTTTGCCTGATTCTCCTCAGGCTCCATCTTCATCGTGGTTTACAGTGTTTTGGGGAAGGTTGGGAGTGGGGCGGGCCCCTCCACTGAACATTCATAGGCTGTCTCCTCAGGTTCGGGGAGATCATCACTCCAACTCCTCTACAACATTGTAACCTCCGCACATGAGAAAGTCTATATGACTTCCCCTTCTCTTCTACAGGGAAACTCTATGGGGAAGACAAGACCCCAATAGGTGCTAGCAGCCGATCTCTAGATACCCAACCAATAAGACTCACCGGCAAGTGGGAAGACATCTAGATATTGCTACTCTTGGCTTCTACTTTTTTCCAAAATCATGGCTCTCCAGATGCTTGGGGAAGTCATTACCCTCCCTTCCTTTATTCTGTTATTGACCTTTTGTTTGTTTGTTTGTTTAATCACTATAGCAGAGATGGGAAGCACGGGGAGTGAGAGCCCAGTGGGAAATATTATTTCACAGAGCTATGCAGAGCTACATAGCTACACACAGAAACACTGAGTCACAAGCCTAGGCGCAATGCCCAGTTACACACAAAAACATGGGCTCCAAAGGCCAAACACAGGGTAGGACTCAGCAGCAGCAGTGGTGGGAACTGTTGCCCTAGAAGTAGAGGGCATGTGTAGAGGGGGCCTCTGGGAAGGCAGTGAGAGAGGAGCCTGCTGTCTGATGCTTTAGAACCCCTCCCCCACCACTGTCCTGCCCACCCTGGACTCCCCAGGGGGCTGCAGACGGCTGGGGCTGGCTGCAGGTGCTCCCAAATGCCCGTTCCTCCTGTTAGAAGAAAAAGGGACAGACAAGTCATTAGGAAGAGGATATTGTGTCCCACTTTTATCAGGATCTGATTCTCCAATCCCAGACCACCTCCTAGAGGCCAAGGCATCCCTCAGGCCAGAGAAACCACATTTAGGCCTTCCCCCCACCCTTCCCCCACCCCTTACACACCGACTACTGTTGCCCCATGTTGCCCCAATAACCTGAAAACAGGTATCTCAAAAATGTTTTGCCTCCACCCACTGAGTAGAGCAGATCGTAGGGTTCAGCTGTGGGGAGCCAAGAGGACCCAGGTGCGGGGCTACTCACCATGCCTGGGGAGGGAGCCAGCTGCCCCTTCCTCTCCAGCATTTTTAACATTGAGCCCACAGCATCAGCCTGAGCCATGACTCCTTCCAGGACAGTCTCCAGCTGCAGAACTCTCCTTGTGAGCCTGTGCAGGATTTGAGAGAGACTGAGGAAGCAGTAATATGTGTTTGGGGGACCAAGTGTCTACAAGGGAGGGCAGATGGAATGGTGTGTGTCTGGATGGGAGCAAAGAAGGTAAGGCCCAGGCTTTAGGGAGAATTAAAGGGGGGCTAAGGTTCTTCTAAGCTAGGACAGGGGCTTAGAAGGTTGTGAAAAGAAGCTCAAGGTAGGATATTTAAACATAGTCAGCCCTGGGTCCCTGGCTGCACGTACGTATAGAATTCTTCTCCTGAAACCCAGTCACCTGCTCCGGTAGCCTCTGGACCCGACTTGCCTGGTGAACTTCTCACAATGGACCGGCCCATGTTCTCAATTTCAGTATTGATGGCCACCTGATCAGGAATTCAGAGGTCAGAAAGGAGGTGACTCTGGGAAGCCATCAGCTCTGGTTCTAATGGGCTCTCAGGAACAGGCCTTGGGTTGTAGCTCTTTCTATGTCCTTTCCCTCCCAAACTCTGGAGACAGTAGGATCAGAATAGTGGTGCTGGACACAAAGCTGGCCCAACCTCTGGGAAGGAATCACCTCCCAAAGAAACAAAACAAAACAAGAGCCTTGATTAATGAGGTGTTAATTAGATGCCAACTCAGTTTGGGAAAGGAGGGACAGTACCAGAATTCCTTGCACTGTCCCTCCTGCCCTTGATTTTTTGGTCTACACTAGATAAGGATGAAGCAGGCATAGTAGGGACAGCTAAGGATAAGAGTCTGAAAATCCCAAAAAGAAGGAATTGTCAGGGATTCTTGAGCAATTGGTCCTTTCCCCCTAAAGACTGTTTTAGAGCAATGGTTCTCAACCTTGGCTATGCATTGAAATTACCTGGGAGTTTTAAAAAATACTGATTTCTGGGGTCCCTAACACATACACACACAGAGATTCATTGATCAGCTGCCTCCTGTATTGAACCCACAATCTAGGTTTGTGCCCTGACCAGAAATCGAACCCACAACCTTTTGGTGCTTGAGAGGATGCTCCAACCAACTGAGCCACCTGGCCAGGGCTCAGTATGAGGATTTTTAAAAGCTCTCAGGTATTCTAATGTGCAGCAATTTGAGAACCACTATTCTAGA